ACACAGTGAGAGAGGGAACACAAGCAGGGGGAGTGGGAGAGGGAGAAAGCAGGCTTCACGCTGAGCAGGGAGCCCGATGCGGGGCTCAATCCCAGAACCCTGGGATCATGACATGAGCTGAAGGCAGACACTTAACGACTGAGCCACCCAGGCGCCCCTTCCTGAGTTATATTTCACTGTAGGTATACTGCATTTTACTGTTGAAGGATAATTGGGTTGGTTCTAGTTTGAAGCAATTATAAATAGAAATAGTATAAACATTACTCATGTAGTTTTTTGAGTGAACGTAAGTTTTCATTTATCTAGGGCAAACATCTAGAAGTAAGATTTTGGGTCACATGCTAAGTGTCTCTGACTTCATAATAAACTACCAAACTGTTTCTGCAGAATGGCTATACCATTTTGTCTTTCTACCAGCAATGTATGAGAGTTCTAGTTGCTCCATATCCTTGATAATATCAAGTATTGTTTTATTTTAACCACTGTAATAGGCATATGCACTGTAGTTTTAAGGTACTTCTCTAATGGCTACTGATGTTACACATGTGTTTTTATGCCATCCATATATCCTGTGTAGTGAAGAATCAGTCTTTTGCCCATTTCTTCATTGGGTTGAATTTAAATTTCTTTATACATTCTGGATACAAGTCTTTTATCAGATCGGTGACTTACAAATATTTTCTCAGTCTGTAGCAGCCTTATACTTAATAGCTAAAAACTGAAAAAAGCCCAAAGGCTCATAAACAGAAAATGGATGAATAAACTGTGGTATGCTAATACCACAGAATGCCACATAGTAATAAAAAAGAACAAATTACTGATACACACAAAAATATGGATGAATCTATCTCTCAGACATTACTTTGAATAAAAGAAGCTCTACACAGAGAGTCTATGAAGGTGAAATATGCTATCTAAATATGAGTAACATTTCCTCAAACTGTGTTTATTACACGATTTCATTAAATCAAAGATCTGCTATCTCTTCTCTCTCTCCCTTGTCACCACCACCCCTTTTCTACTTTACTTTAAGGCAGGTTTTTGGAAGAAGCATATAGGGAATGGTGGCAGAGAAACAAACAGAATGTTTTAGGAGCCACTATCTTCTTCTGAACAATAAAGTTTAGAGAATTTGTATTCCATAAAGTTGTATCACCACGCATTATGAAAAGCACTTATATCTAGAAGACACAAAGAATACCTATGATGTAAAAAAAAAAAAAAGGCATGTGACTGAATTTTTTAACTTTTTATAGTGAAATAATTACAGATTCATATCAGTAGTAAGAAATAATACAGAAAGATTCCCCCTTACCGTTCACCTAGTTTCCCCCAATGAAAATATCCTGCATAAATATAGTACATTATCACAACCAGGGGATTGATATTGACACAATTCACCAACTTTATTCAGATTTCACCAGTTTTACAAGCTTTCATGTATGTAGAGCCTTTGTGTAATCATCACTAGAGTCAAGACACAAAACAGTTCCAGTCACAAGGATTCCTTGTGCCATTGTTCTACAGCTATGCCCACCACCCTGTACCCACCCCAATCCCTAAACCCTTGCCACCATTACTCTGCTCTCAATCTCCAGAATTTTCTCATTTCAAGAATGTTATAGAGGGCGCCTGGGTGGCTCAGTTGGTTAAGCGACTGCCTTCGGCTCAGGTCATGATCCTGGAGTCCCGGGATCGAGTCCCGCATCGGGCT